GGTGCTCTACATGCAGTCCCACTGCGATGTCCCCTCGGACAGGGACCGATATGTGCGGGAGCTCATGAAATACATCCAGGTGGGTGTGGTGCGCGGGGAAGCTGTGAAGTGGTGGGAGCCGGGCCTGCTTGGCCCCCCCTGCCACCTGCAGGTCCTCCTTTTAACGGGGTTTGTTTGTCCTTATTTTTAGCCAAGGCAAGAGTTGTAACGGGAAGCGCATCGACTACAAGCTGGACAGCAAAACTAGTTGCATTCCTTCCAAAAGCGTGGTCTAGACTACACCGCACGCCAGTAGGTAGGCCCCACAGTAGCTGTTAGTCATGGAGTTGACCAAACTGCAGGATCAGTCAGAGATTGGGCTACACCCCAATAGACTTGATCTCCTGGACCAAGTTGCTGAAATCTCTGGAGCCTTGTAACTTAGTGTAAAGGAAAGCTGCCCGCTTATAAGCCTTACTGCTGCTTATAAGCATGGGTGGCAAAAAAAAAAAAAAAAAGATGAATTACTGTGTTCTATTGAGAATCCACTCCTTACTTGTGTTGCAGTAGGGCTGTGTTGCTTTCATGGTGGTACTGCTATGTCTCTCAGCTGATGGATAGAGCCCATAGGCTGAAATAACACATTGTCTTTTAAGCGGAAAAACATCTAATGCTTTTTTCCTTAAAAACTCTGAAGGACAGTAGAGGGAGAAAAAGTGATTTGTTCTTAATCTGCAGCTAAAACTTCCTTTTCTTTGTCGTTGTAGTAGTCTATTTCTGTGAGGGTTCATCATATACTCAGTAACGAAGTTAAGACAAAATCATTTTAAAATTGTGGCTGTATATTGTAAAAGTGTGAAACAGGCTCAGGATCAAGTGTACCGCCTTTCATTTTTAGACAGTATTCTTTTGCCCCCTCCCTCTCCCCCCCCCCCCCCCCCCCCCCCAAAAAAAAAAAGGAAAATATCTTTGCCAGCCTGCTGACATTGGAGGGAGCTGTGTAGAATCACTGTTTGGGAAAGTACTGAATCTCTATTAAGTATAAAGATAAATTAACATCAACAGAATTTCATATCCTTCCTCACCTGTCTGTTCCTGAGTTGTCCTCTAGTAAATATATTTCTTTATGAAATCTTCCTTTCTCCATGCTTTTTTTCCCCCCTTGTCTGTATAGTTTATGCCGGTTTTGACACTGACTATTCAGTTTCCCCTAAAGTTGTTGAGGAAGACCTGGGGCTTGAGGAGGAGTGAGGAATGGTTGAGGCTTAGATGATGATGTAGTAAAATGTGCTGGTTAATTTGAGAAATACTACAGTTTTTTTATTTGACTGTCAAAATGAGAAGAGGTCTGAGTGAAAGTGAGGCTAACCTAGGATAACTAGGAACTGCTCAAAACTAGGAGCTTTAAGAGAACTAGAGGCTCTGAAAACAAGCTCCAAGCAAACATAAATCCCTTTTGTAAAGATAACTATTGTTATTTTAGGTTGACTCCTATGGGAAATGCCTGCATAACCGTGAGCTTCCCAGTGAGCGACTGAAAGACACTTCTACAGCCACTACAGAAGATTCTGAATTCATGACCTTCATTGCCAGGTACAAGTTTCACCTGGCCTTGGAAAACGCCATATGTAACGACTACATGACAGAGAAACTGTGGCGTCCAATGCATTTGGGTGCTGTCCCTGTATACCGAGGCTCCCCAGCTGTGCGGGACTGGATGCCAAACAACCTCTCCATCATTCTCATTGATGACTTTGACAGCCCTCAAGAGCTAGCAAAGTATCTTGACTTCCTGGACAAGAACGGAGAGGAATATATGAAATATCTAGAGTATAAAAAACCTGATGGAATCAAAAACCAGTTCTTGCTAGAGAGCTTGGAGAGGCGGGAGTGGGGTGTGAATGACATGACTTTGCCCAATTACCTGAATGGCTTTGAGTGTTTCATCTGTGACAGCGAGAATACCCGAGTCAAAGAGGAGCAGGAGCACAAAAAGTCTCGTGGGAAATTTCCAGCTCCCAGACCTCGCATCGCTCACTTCAAGCATATGGGTTGTCCTATGCCGACTCCTGGGTTTGGAAGTGTTGAAGAGCTCTCTGGAGGAGACAGGTAATGTACAAGTACTATGCTTCCTGAAGAAGAAAAACTTTAAACTTCGATAGTTACAATTTTTAATAATACTTTTTCCTTTAAAGAGTCCTACAATGCATCTCCATTTACACTTTATATTATACCTTCTAGTAGTAATGGTAGTTATGCTAATATTGTGTAAAGTGGAGGTTGAAAAAGAGAGGACTGGAAGGTGGTATTGGCTATTGGTTGAAGCAAGAGCATAAGAGACCTGGATTCTGTCCCATAAAATGCTATGTGACCTTGGGCAATTTGGTAATCCTTTATCTGCCTTAGCCTTTTTCTGTTTGAGGAAGGGGCACTTTTCTGTACAGTAACGATAAAGCACTTGGTAGCCCGTGGATGAAAGAAGCTATATCACTACAAATATGTAGTGATATACAAATCATATGTGGCAAATAGTGACAAATAATATGTCACTACAAATTACTGCATTAAGAATAGTTTGGCAAAATACTTAGTATAGGCCTAGCTTGCTTCTGATGACTTCCATCAGAGCAGAAGTTAGTCCTACTCTAAATATTGTAGAAGAACGCTTTAAATTCTGTGCGGCAACGGGGCAAAATTCTGACCTGTGCTGGAGGGTATATTCACATTTATTTAGGTGTGACCATGCAGGACAGAATAGGCTGAGTGGATGCTGCCCCTTCTGTGCACAGGGATTGATAGCTGCTGCTGGATTCTCCCAGGCCTAGCCTGATGTGATATAGTTCATCTCTAGCGTGAGCTGCCCTGAACTCTGTCAACAGGGAACTAACCACATCAACCCTGAGGCAACCGCTTTTGACAGGAAGAAGAAAGTTTTGTTTTCATGGTCTATTTAATCCTTAATATTTATACAAGTATTGTTGCAATACAAGTCAGTGCTTGGGTTTGCAAACTTGAGTTTTGCCGTCGGCAGTGTTTGAAGTTGCGGTTGCTGGAGGGAAGTGTTCTGGCTGTTCATAAACTGTTCGTGCACTCTTTATGGGTTGTGTCACTACTGTAACATGTTTGGATCCCCCAAGCTCATTGTTCTTCTCTGCGCTGCCTTGAACAAACTTAAGTCTATTTAGGGAATTACACAAATTTATTCGTTTCCTATGAGCTATCAGAGAGCAATCATAAAAGCTGAACCTTAAACTATAGAACGTTTTGCCTATGTTCATAGCGCTTTGTTGCCAAAGATTTCAGAATCCTGGTGTCAGTTCAGCTGTATGAAGTGTTAAGCTAATGATTTTTTGAAGATACTGTAAAGATCTGAGGCACAGTCCAGAAAGAACTTCTCAGTGTACTCCCAGCTTGTATCAGTTTACAGATTTGTTAGTATTTTCCTAGACTAAGGAACTAAATACCTAGGAGTGTTAAAATGTTAAAGGAAACAGTTTGGTGAAAACGTAGACTCCGTCTTTTTAAGTTCTCTATAAACCAGAGCTAAGTTCTATGCAGATCTGAATCTCTAAAAAAAAAAAAAAGGTTTTGTTAGGTTATCCATCCACAAAAAAAAGTGTTAGATATTTTATAACTGGAGGGAAGTGGTGGGGGAGCTGCTACTTCCTAGCTTTGGATATTTTCAAAAATGGCCAACTGAAATTAAAAAAGAGAAAAAGCCTTGTATCATTCAATTTCTTTAGGAAATCCCTGTTTCACACAACTTTACTGATGTTTGTCACTAAAAAGTATTTTTCACGATATAATTAATTAATGTACTGGCTAATTAAAAATGATGCTTGTAAGTAAAAGGGGTCCCTAAATGCCTTTGTAATCCTTTGTTTTCTGTTGTTTGATTTATTTATTGAAGTTTTTTTTATAGTAATACCTTTTTTTGCCCTGGTAGCAAAATGTGCACTTCCCTCATCCTACCCTGTATAAATGAATACTCTTCCACTTTTTCTTAAATTTTCTTTTGCTTGAGCAGCAGATGGCAGTAGAGAAATACCTTTGAAGATATAGCCTGGGTGTCTTATGCTGCTTGCTTGTAAATTAAGGTGCTTCACCCTTCTGTGCAGGGCTCATCAGCAAGGAGGTTTTGTGTATCAGTCCATAATCCAAGCTGCAGAGATTTCCATGTCTGCTGAAC